TGGACGAAATCTTCGATTTTGATTCCCCCGGGGACTGAACCGCCCCTGCATTGGGGGCTGCGGGTAGTTACCCCGACTCAGCAAGAGAGACTGTTGGGACACAAAATTTCTTTCACTCCTCAGTTGGCAACGGACTCCTCTCATGCACTAAATGCGGCTAGATCGGCTCTCCGACCGTGGGTGTTGAGACCGGGGGTCAGTCTTTTCGGACGGGCCCTCGTTCTCAACAACTCCCATTTTTCTACCTTTTGGTATCAACGTACAAATTTCCAACTGGATCTGCCAGCACAACAAGCGATAAAACACCTTGCCACTCACTACTTGTGGAAAGAAGAAATGTCTGATGCACCATACCTCCCTAAGGTATCGTGGGAGGTGGTCACACAACCCCAACGGGAAGAGGGGCTCTCCATTCTTGACCCGCAGTACCAAATTGGGGCGTTGTTGTCCCGATGGGTGCTATGGGCGATTTTGGCAGGGCCTTTCTCGCCATGGAGACAGTTGGCAGAGTTTGCTCTCCTCAATAGTTGGGGTTGGAGGACATTGCGTTGTATTTGGTTGGCAGTCCTCCATCATGCGTACCTTCGTAAACGCTTACCGCATGGGATATGGTCTGATATCTTGAGGAACTGGCAGCGCTGCTGTCCTCGACTTCTTCCACCGCCCAAGGCGACAGAGAGGATATTGACACAGCCGCTGTTTGAAAACCCCTTCATTCTTACTGAAAATGGTTGCCCCTTCCCCTGTTTTGGAGGGGGAGCCTTTGGTGATTCCTGGATGAGCAAAGGGATTGGGACGCTGGTGGATATTTGGGACGTGGACCAGAGGGACTGGAAACCCCTTCATCTCCGAGCCCTCCAAGAAGCAATCCCTTCGGAATGGGTGACGATCCTTCGATCCGGGATTGTCCTCTCACGAGGAGGATGGTTGAAGAGAATGCACGAAAACGGTCCTGCTCTTCTTTGGAAAATTGAATCGATTACGGACTCGCAAACTGTGCAGGCCTCGTGTTGGGAGGCATGTCCATTAACAGCCACCACATCGCAAGGACCGCCACTAACCTGGGCGCAATCGGACACGCCACTCCCACCTCTGACTGAACTGTTGCCTGTTTGTGTATTGGAATATCCTGACTCAGACTCTGTCCGCCCTTTTTATTTATCTACCCCATCGTATAATTTACCGGTAGACCCTAGGAACTGGCACTGCCCACCAGGGCCCTCGAACAAAGACAGTGTGCCGCTACACAGATATACCACACACATGGGTTATCAGATCTCAGGCCCGAAAGTGGACGTCAACTGGAAGGTTACTAAAAGATGGATGTCCACGGGGTGGATCCATGACTCTCACACACGCTTGTCTCAAGCCTTGCCAGCATACTGGAAACTGTTGATGGAACTGCCTGTGGTCAATCAAGCCAGTTTCTTGTGGCTATTGGTACATATGGCTGTGCCCACTGCCCTCTGGTGCGCCAGAAGAACATCCAAGGCCTCGCCTTTGTGCTCTCTGTGCCCTGGAGTCCGGATTGCAGACCAGCAACATTTTTGCATTCACTGCGACCTGTCAAGACCTCTGTGGAATTGGTGGCGATCCGGAGTGGTCCCGATTCCGCATCCGGAAACACGGTGGGATGACAATTTTCTTCTTTTGGGTACTGCATCTCGAAGACAGCATCGTGCCAACTCCCTCACATATGCAGAGGAGTGTTTACGTGGAGCTGTGTTGTGGACATTATGGACCCTCAGAAATTTGGCTGTGCGAGGGGGGGAGCATTTCACACCCCCGATGGTCCGCGCTGAAGTCAACTATTCTATCAAGCAGACGCTGGCAACCGAATGGTCGCTTAAAGTGGTCAACAAAGGATTCGCTGCAAAAGCTCTTAAAAGATTCTACACACACTGGGGCTCATTCACTGGTCTGGTGGAGATGTCTGTTCGGCCTGCTCACAATCCGGAACTCAAATTTTCCTCCTTTTTTGTTTAGTACTTGGAAGGCCGGAACTGCTGAAAAATGTTGAGATGAGATAAGATATAAACTTCAGGACCTGGACTGTAAAATACTGTAGGTAAATAGTGCTTCTCTTCTGCTTCCAGGTTTTCATTCTCTTGTTCGTTTCTGTTCTGCACAACAAACTGTTGATAGAGTTGAGATGAGATATGGACTTCAGGACCTGGACTGTACTGTACTGTAAGTGATTTAAAGACCTGGACTGTACTGTACTGTAAGAGAATACTGCTCCCTTTTTGCATCCAGCTTTTAATTCTCTTGTTCGTTTCTGATCTGCATAACATTGGGAGAGTGACGCAGTCCTGTTTCTGGGCTTGTCCGGTGATGTCTCGCCTCCAAACCGGACTGTGGAATCTTTGTCAGGGACGCCAGGCCCGTTTCCTGGCTTTGTAATATAAGGGATGCCGGGCCCGGTTCCCGTTTTTTTGTTAAAAAAAAAAAAAAAAAGAATATGAATGGGTGAAACAAAACAATATTGAAAAAAAAAGAATGGGCAGTCCAGGGCAGATGGGATGAAATACCAGGCACTAACTGGGGCCCCAAAATCAATACACCATGGAAGCACTATCATTACCCTTCCTCCTGGTTACCCAGGGCAATCAATGCTGGCAGGCAGTAGCCCTCTCGCACATCGCAATCATATTTCAAATTTCCCAGGAAAAAAAAAAAAGATTTAGAAAAGCCTGCGGCGATATTTATTTATTTATTTATTTACCCACAAAGCACTGATGTTTGCAACATAAGCGACGTACACCACCAGTACCCTGACCAGCTCGAAAAAAATACGGGTTTCGTATACGGCCAGACCTTTTGGGGGTTTGGATACCGTACCGAAATGGCTGACGGCGCCAGCCAAACGCAGGCCCGCGTCGGTTCATTTTTTTTGGCGCACGCCGCACGGGGCGAATTTAGGCTCGGCATCAATAGCTGGGCGGGGCACTGTCTTGAACCACCAGTACTTCTGGGGCACTTTTCTCCGGGGCTGGGAACGCGCTGAGCGCCAAAGAAAAATGAACCGGCACGAGCCTCCTTTTGGCTGGTGCTGGCAGCCGTTTTGCTCCCACGGCTGAGGCCTGGAAAGCGGCAGCATGCAAGCCGCAACTTTGAGAAAATGGCTGGGAAACGTACTGGTAGTTTAAAATAAAACAGAAGACTGTCCCCGGCATTTGTGGCATCAGATGAAGGCTAAGGTTGAGGGTTCAAATCCCTTTTCCAGACAAACGCCCCAAGACTATCAATGGAAGCAAGATAGAGAAAGATGTGGTGTGGGGTGACATGAAGAAGCTGGTTGCAAAACTACGAAAAGTGCAAATGGAAGAAGATGCACAAGACAAAGAAGGACAATTCAGACTCTTTCAGAGGCAATGGTCAAACACTTGAGCATTAGCATAATGCACAAAGCTTTACATTTCACAGAAGACGCATCATGCTATGCGACTTAGGAACACAATTGTTGGCGGTCCGCTCAGGCAGAGGCATACCTAAACCAAAAAGAGCATTTCCTGCAGCACTGGCTTCACGAGGGAAAGGTTGCCACGATTTTGGAATTTGAAGATCCAAACCAGCACCGCTAGCACTGGAAGGGAGTTTAAAAAAAAAGAAAAAAAAAGATCCAATATTAAATACCCTCCCCCTAGGAAGGATAAAATCATAAAACCATTGTAAGGTTTCAATGCTGTGCAGCCTTCGTGTCGCCACAAAGATCAGGCCGGGAGAAAAGTGCCTCGAAGGCTCGAAGTACTGGTGGTTTAAGTGGACAGTCTAGCACAACTCCAGGAGTGAGCAAGACAAGCAGTGATGGGGAGAAGACAGGGATAGCAATGTCTGAATCCCTCCCTCCCTTCCTCCCTTCATGGAACAGCACCGGAGAAGGGTTCGACAAGCTGAGAGCAGGGCACAGCAAACTGCCAGCAATTCTCAAAATGAATGCTTTATTAGGGAAGTCAGATCACAGCTCATAGATTGGTGCAGTTTTGAAAAAAAAAAAAAAAAAAAAAAAAAAAAAAAGAGCACAGCTATCGCAGAGACACTTCACCCAAGCCCATTAACTTTCAGCACACAACTTTTTTTTTCTTCATTAAAATGATATTGAATTAATTAATAATTATTCTGATCACAAAACCTTACAATCGGCTTATACTTTAAATCTGAAATGAACAAGTCTTTTTAAGACACTCTCAACACTTGGCTCACTGTGTAAGCACTGGCAGTCAATCAAATTGCACACTGCGTAGCACTCGCAGCCAATCAAATTTAGCATAGAACACACCCCTGGAATTCTCTGAATCCAGAGCAAGAGAAAAGAAAAATAACATCATATGCTTCCACATTAACCAACCACTACTTCTCCACCTTCTCCTTAACATCAACTCAGCATCTGCTCATACCACCTTTGGCGATTCGTCAAGCTGCTCTCCCAGACATACGACACGACAGACTCCACCTGCAATTCATCACGCGCATGCCCCAAATCATCAAAGACCCATGGGTTCTCCCTTCCAGGCCTACTCCGCCGGCTATCCCAACCCCTTACCAGCACCTGCTACCCTGAGGCCAATAGCAGGCAAGGTTCTCTAAAAATAGGCCTGCACACAGCCTCTACTGGGACTGTCTACCTGCCCTGTCTACTGAGGACTTCAGAGGCTGTCTGAGAACTACTGGTCTAGACCCTCATGGCAGATCCATGACAGAACACCACTGATCACTCTTACGCAGGCACTTCATCATTCACACTGTCAAAATTGAGGGACCTTAGATTGACAATCACACAATGCAAAGATGAACACACTCGTATGTGTGTGCATTTGTGGAACACATAACTAGAAAAGCACAACCGTGGGACTTTCGCCAACTGAAAACGAAGTCGAACCAGGGAAGGTGTGTGTGTGTGTGTGTGTGTGTGTGTGTGTGTGTGTGTGTGTGTGTGTGTGTGTGTGTGTGTGTGTGTGTGTGTGTGAGAGAGAGAGAGAGAGAGATGGTGTCCTGCTGTATAACAAAATTGAAAACACGGAAAATTCTGAAGTCGCACGTACCGGTCGAGGGAACAAAGAGGGAATAAAAAATTATGTGGAGTTGAGGCATGACATGGTCTTCTGCCCCACTAGTTGTCCTCTGCACTCTCTGTGCCATCAGATCTTTCTCCCAGTTCCTCCCCAACATCTTCCTCCTCTTCCTCGACCATGGCAGCGGCCTCTACCTGATCCTCTTCATCCTCTTCACCACCTGGGACTTGTGAGCTCACTTCGCGCCCCTGGACATCTTTATGTTTCAGATTCCCTGCAGCGTTTGTGTAAACAAGTGTCAAGTCTTCGACACGATCACAATTGAAAAGAAACCAACCGACGGATGCCATGAGCCCTAAGCATTTAAACCACCAGGACCTTTCCCATATATCGCCTGCGGGAACAAAAGAAGGCCCGAAACAGAAAACGGGACGCCGATGAAACTTATCAACGGCGGCCCGATCTCGCTTGGCTTCCGCATAACCCGGCGTGGAATTGATTTCAAGTGGGGAAAGGTACTGGTCGTTTAAAACTTCAAACTTCAAGCTGTAGAGAGAAAGAGTGGCCACAAGTTCCCACAACCATCAGTTCGCCAAAATAACAGACTCAACCACAATAATGAACTTCTCGCGCAGGCGAAATGTTGGGAAATAATTTCTTGCTTCAGCTTAAGCCACCACCATTTCCGAGCCTGTTTTTGCGAAGGCGGAAAAGAACTGTGCGCCAAGCTTTGCCGAAACGGCAGAGTGGCTTTTTTTCCCCCCCCCCTTTGGCTGGCGCCGCCAGGTATTGTGGTCAGGTAGCGCTGTTCATCCGAAGAACCTGGAATGTTACATTTTTGATTCTCGACGTTGCGTGGGAAAGGTAGTGGTGGTCTAAACTTTAAACCAGTGGTACCTCCAAGACTGCCCTGGTTTAAACTGCTAGTACACGGCCCCAGCCTTGCAGAAAGTTTTCTGTCGCCACAAGCAAAACTTGGAGACACCGTGCGGCCGTCTGCGCCGTTGAAAAAAAAAATTGGCAGCCTCCGAAGTGGTGCGGGTTTCATGCTGACAACTGCAGACCGATGTGTGGTGGACTGGTGCTTAAAACCAGGAGGGCTCCCGTAAGGGTGGTCCATTGGGTCGATGACCTGACGGCCACAGATTCTTCTTCGTTGTCTGCAGTGGTTAGCCCTATTATTCAGGAGGTAGCGTTGAGTCAGCAGAGTCAGCACCATCCAAACAGCGAAGGTAGCTTTAAGCCACCAGTCCATCTGAAGTTAGTAAGTTACTGTTCATCCGTTTTCATACACGAGTACGCACTGCGACCTTAGGGCCTCAGCCTACCAGACCAAAATGGCTGGCCGGCGGCCGCCAAAAAAAAAAAAAAAAAGTTTGAAGAACCGGTCTTCGCCAGTTTATTTTCCATCCGTGTGCAGCAGAAATCCTCGTTGGGAAAAAGAGGCTTGGGAGTACTGGTGGTTTAACCATACATGCGGCACATCAAGGTGCGCTGCACAGTGCAGATGCGCCGCACTGCACATGGTGCACAATGCGCGCGCACGGCGTGCAGCACACCTCGAAAATCAGGGGTCAGCAAAAAGAAAAAAGTTGCGGGGGCTGTTTGTAGGCCCTTACGGTTCGTGCCAACCGGTACCAAAGTGGGGATTTTTTGTTTGTAGGCCGCGCACGGGCACCAAGAAACAAACGAGCAAGATCTGTGTAGCTCGATTTTGAACTACTCAAACCCACCACACTGGCTGCAGAAACCCCGGTAGTCGACCTTAGCGGCTGGACAGCACGTTCTCCATCCCAGCCGCCGTGTTGGCCTTCGCCACCTCGTCCGTGCACCAGGAAGCAGCCTCGTCGTCGTCGTGTGGCCATCGCCAGCGCAGCGGGAGGAGCCAGAGGAAGTAGCGGGAGGAGTGAACCACATCTATTGACTTACCGTGAGGGCACGGGTGCGCAGTTGTATATGCTTGATTGATAAAGGAGGCGTTCTTGGTGAGGTTTAGAAGTAGGGTAATTGTTGCATGAAAAAAAAGGAGTATTTGTGTGTATGTGTCAAGATTAGTGTGTGTCTGTTTGTGTGATACTTAGGGTGTTTGTGTTTAATATCACATATGTTAGTGTTGGAATGTGTGGGATTTAGGTAATTGTATGGTATTAATGTATTTGAAATTTGACATACCTTGATTCATAGTTGGCGTCGAGACTGGTGGTCCTTGAATCTTGGTCCATATGTCGTATACGTGCGCGCTCGAGTGTTTGTTGTTGTAAGTTTTTTTTTGTCACATGTGACTCACTCAATCGGGTGCTGAACGTGTGGAGCGTTGAATACGTCCACGTTCAGACACATATGTTTGCACTTGCAAATGCAATGCAGGTGTGTCGTTTCAACCTGCCGCCAAGGCCGCGCCCTTTCCGATTCAGACTTTTCCACTTTTCCACCCTGCCGCTGCTTTGCCACCGTTTCGACCTAAACCCAGTGCGCGGTCCCACGGGCAGCTACCGGTCCCGCATTTTTCAAAGAAACTGCCACCACCCCCCAAAGATCCACCCTACCGCTTTGCCACCGTTTCGACCAAAACCCAGCACGCGGTCCCACGGGCAGCTACCGGTCCCACATTTTTCAAAGAAACTGCCACCCCCCCCCAAAGAT